GAGATTTTCAAAGCCTTTAAGATACACATACCTTTGGCTCAGAGATTCCCCTGCTGAGAATCTCCCCTTAGAAAGCAAAACCAAGTGCAAGGAAACTGAGAAGGAAAATGCTGAGATACTGTAAACAGAGGGCAGGTGAGTGCAGCAGAGGGGGGCGGAGCGGTGGGAAGGGAGGCCCTGTAGGATGAGATGGCCCATCATGCTACGCACACACACACACCACGGTGAATCCACCCTTCTGTGTATCTGTAAAGTACCAACTGAAAACTATCAGGAGAAGGAAGACTTGTAGGGTGGAGGAGGGGGTCGGGAACGAGGAGGGGAAGCAAAGAGGAAGCCCTGGAGATGGAAATGGAGTGGATGACATGCCATTGGGTATCACTATGTCAACATGAACCGGACAGTATCTATAGCTATAATGCACTAATAAGTTTTTTAAAAGACTCAAGAGGTGAAAGGAGGAAGCCTAACTCCAGCAGCAATGAGCATAGAAGATATAAATTACAACCACCTCAGTTTCCAGCCCTGGAAGGCCAGGTGAAATAAATGAGGACATATCCATGCAACCAAGTACTTAGGCAGTCCTAAAGAATGAAACCCGGGGTATATTTATGGCTACGGAAAGATGATCATGATACATGAGACTAAGAATTATAGTTTTTGAAGCAGTGTTTACAGTATTTCATTTCAAAAATACACATCTTTTTATAAACTATATAGATGTATGCATAAGGGAAATGGACAGCAACAAACTTATCTGTGAAGAGGAAATAAAAATATTCAAAGTAAAAAAAAAACGTATTTTCTAGTTTTCTTAAAGGAAATAAATGACTTGTATTCACACACACACACACACACACACACACACACACACACAAAGGTTAAAACAGGAATGCATCTAAATTTAAAAAAAAATAACTTCTAAATACAAGCAGTACCTAACTGTGAGGACTATCAGGAATCCGGGCATGGAAGTGGATCTTTACTTTACCCTTAGCACCCACCTATCTAGCAGCAAGATAAAGGGCTGGCTGAAAGCCAGTGCAGAGCTGGGGCATCCACCATTGCGCAAGCTTAGTCTACCTTGTCAACCTGGAGGCATGGCGTGTGCCTGTCCCACACACCCAGAGAGTCTACAGGTGGCAGTGTGGACTGTCAGCAGGTGTGTGGGGGAGGAAGGGAGAAGGAGGAGGCCAGACCAAGACAGTACAGTCCAACACTCCCTGAGATTCTCTACTTAAGACTCCCAGGAAGCCACGCCCAGGCCCATGGCTGTCCACAACAGCCCCTACCAGACTTCAAGGACCACCCACCCTCTTAACTCAGGAGAATGAAGGCCAGGCTGGGGTGATGGAGGCAAGGCAAGTTGAGAAAAGTCTAGAAAAGGGAGAAAAAGAACTAGCTGGCTCAAGAAGAGTACCTACTGATGGTGAAAATACCAAAGCCATGTTGCAGCCATCAGTGAGCTGGCGTGGAGCATGACTCTACGAGGTGGGTCTCAGGAAAAGCGGATCCTGCCCTGCCAGAGGGATGCGATGCAGAGTACAGAGAACCCTGTGGAGCGTTCTTGCCACAGAAGCTGAAAGCAGACCTGGTCCCCAGAGTCGGGAGCCGACTCTCATGTAGAGGGATACAGTGGAGAGGCAGGCTCACAGGCACCCTGGAAGGCACACGGAGTGGGACATTCCACAGGACAACCACCGTATCTCCCAGTATGAACTGCACAGTCACACAAAGCTTTCAAAAATGGTGCTCTCAATAGCCAAACCACGCACCCAGCCTAGGTGTCCATCAACAGATGAATGGATAAAGAAAATGTGGTGTGTACACAGTGAATTTTACTCAGCCACAAAGAAGAGCGAGATTATGTCATCTGCAGGAAAATGGATGGAACTTGAGAACATTATGTTAAGATAAATAAGCCAGACTCAGAAGGTCAAGGGTCATGTTTTCTCTCATATGTGGGAGCTAAAGAGAAAAGGAAAAAAAAAGGTCGGGGGGGGGGATCTCATGAAAATCCAAGGAAGATCCAGAGAGTAGAGAAAAGGGACTGGGAGGGGGGACCTGGGGAATGGTACTGGCCAAATTCTGTTGTTATGCTGTGTGCACGTGTGACACTGTGACAACGAATCCCATGATCATGTACAAGCACAAGGCACCGGTAGAAAGTATGGAAAGAGTGAATGACTGCCAAAGCCTGGGGCAGGGAGAAAAGAGTTATTATTTAATGTGTTTATTTATTTTGAAAGATGGAAATGTTCTGGGAACCTTTGTATAACAATGTGAATACACTTGGCATTACTAAACCACACAGTAAGAATGGTAAGATGGTAAATTTTATATCGCATGTTCTTTTAACCACAATTAAAGGTGAAAATTTAAAAACAAGTGCTTCTAAGTTTAAAAAATAAAATAATCCTGAGTATAAGAGGAGAACCTAAAAAGGTATATTAAAATTTAGTAGGGGAAGAAGGGAAATGAATAGCTACATTATTCTCAGGGATATAGAAGTCATCTAAAAAAAAGTGGGGGAACTGCCTTAGAATAAGAAAGATACAAAAGATAAAACAAGCAAATGTAATTGGTGGACCATGTTTGGATCTGGATTGAACAAAGCCCATGGAAAGGGCATCTTGGACCTGACGGGGAGGCCTGGCTGTGGACTGCGTAAACCCTTTGTCTAAGGTATTTTGAATTTTCCTTTTTAAGTAGATATATGGAAATAAAAAATTTAAAAAAGAGTCAGTTAAAAAAGTATTAAGTACACAACAGCCCAGGAAGGGGGTCGAGCTGGCGAAACTTGCACAGGGAGAAGTGGAACGCGGAGACTGAGGGACCTGGGCACACCGTGACTCTGGGAGGAGGGACTTCCCACGGGTGATGAGGTGGCAGCTCTCCTAAAGGCAGGTCTTCCCGGAAGGGAAGGGAGAGAAAGTCAGGAGGGCAAGAAAGAAGCAGTTTCTGAAAATGACAGGCGCTGAGCAAAAGGCCACAGGAGCCAACCCGAGAGAGCTTCCGTGACCAGAGCTGAAAGCCCTTGAATGACAAAATGAATGGTAATAGTATGGAATTACGCCTCACAGAGTGCACCCTCACGCAGCCTCGATGAAATAAACTACTGCATAAACCAATGAGGAGGACAACACTTTCTCAAAAGACAATTTCAACTACAAAATACAGAAGGAGCGAGGGAACAGGAAAACACCATTCGGATATACCGAGTAATAATGGCTACAGCAGGACCTATTCGACAGATGTCAGGATCCAGTGGGTAATAGTTTAAGGAGACACTGGGTACCTGCATGGTTTTAAAGTTTCTCCCATAAGCTAACCATTAGTTACCAAGATAAACTTTAACTTTACAGTTAACTGTGACTGTACAGTAGAAAGACCTAACAGACCCATTTTAAGTCAAAGCATCAAGGTCGACGTTCCCACAAGTAAGACACATCAACCTCACATCCCCCCACCGAGTGTCAGCAGGATCAGAAACCAGGTATCAGCGACTCAGCTGTGGGTTGGGGGAGAAAACAGACCCAGCCAATGAGGGCATTTCATTCAGCACTTCAGAAACGAAGGGCGAGGGATCGTGCGGCCAGCACTACTTTTGCTGGTGTACATTCTGGTAAGTCATATTTGTTTTAAATTTCATAACCTTAGAGCACATATTACAGATCAACCTCAAACAAGGTTGGTTGACAAAAAGAGCTGGAATAACAGCAGCAACCACACACCTTTTCCAGGTCCTGGGGTTCCAGGTCCAAACGGTCACCATGTGTATCTGCATTTGACCACCGTTCAAGGCAGTAGGAGAAGGCGTTTCACATCCTACCAATCTGGTCTAAAAGATGTTTACTGTAATTCAGGGCTTATATCTTTAAAGAATGAAGCATGCATAGTAAAGAAATAGGGTTTTAAGTGAAGATGGCCATGCGGATGATGTCAGAGTCCAAGAAAGCAGAAACACTGCTTTCTCACTGAATTATTTTTTAGAAATAAAAAAGGAAAAGAGAAAAATAAGCTCAAACCCTCAAACAGCAACCAAAAAAGAAAAAACCCTCTACTTGATCAGTGATAGCTTTACAAATTACAAGAAATTGTTTAGCAAAAATATATTCCCTTAAATCTATATCTCAAAAAGTTATTATCTAATCCTAAGTCACAAGAGAAATGTCAGAACTTCACCCTAAGAAAAAGTTCTTAACCTCTGTATCACAAGTGGCCTTATCTGATTTAATGTGAAATGATGTTGGGTTACTGGATAGGAAGACGGCTATAGAAAGCATAATACTACGTCTTTTCTTCAGGGAGGATATGACAAAGAGATAAAAAGAAAAATCTGAGTTCCGTTCCTGCACCATTCCTTACAACCTTGTTCAAATCAACTGAGAATTTGGGAGTTTCAAGTTTACTTTATCTGTAAAATAGAATAAGTATCCTAGATACCTGGAAGCATTCTTTGAAGAATCAAATAAAATAACACATAACATTTTATAAACCATGAGGTATGATATAAATATATTACAATAAAATAAGCTTTGTGATTGGATAAATCTAGGTAGAACCTCAAAATTCTGTTTACTGATACATCCCATGTGGTGAAGACACTGAATGTTAATTCTTCAATAAAAGCTCAGGCCACATATTGGCAGTCTGGATTCCAACAGCCAATTATAAGTTTTTCATTGGGATGTCAGAATCAAGGGTCTCCATTCCATGCATACCACAAAGAAGGGCAAGATCTATTAGCTTTCTTCCTCTGCAACCAAAACATTCTTTGTAAGCACTATGCCTGGATGACTGCTAACGTGTTGGATCTTCTCATGCAAAAAGGTTACCTACACACTTAAACTATTCACTGGTTTTGACTACACCATGCTGGCTTTTTGAGTTAACAAGCTGTGAGGACAAGTATAAAACATTTCAATTCAGGTCATTCAAAAGGTCTCTCTACAGGATAAAGTGAAAAATGTTGAGAAAAACTGTTCTCTGAAAGTTTTTCAACAGTAATGGCATTCAGCCAGTGTCTCCTGGAAATGGAGCTGATAATGCTGAGTGAGGTAGGAGGGCAGGCTGAAACACTTCCCACAGAGCTGGCACTGGTACGGCCGTTCCTGAGCATGAATCCGATAGTGCTGAATGAGATGTGAGCTCCGACTGAAGGCTTTGCCACAGTCACAACACTGGCAGGATCTCTCTCCAACATAGTCGTGCTTCCGCTGATAACGAATTAAGTGTGTCTTGTTGCGGGGCAGCCCAGGGGGAAGGGCCTCTGCTGCTTCATGGGCTTTGAGATGTTGAAAAAGATGCACGTCCTGGACAAAAGCTTTGCCACACTGAAAGCACTCATAGTAGTCCTCCTGACTGTGAACTCTTACAGCGCCCCCGAGATCTGCAGGCGGGATGAAAGACTTGCTGACTTGACGGTACCTAGAGGGCCTCAGGGCCAAATGAGTCTTCTGGTGTCTGGTGAGGTGGGGCATGAGAAAGAAGGTTTCGCCACATTGTTTACACCCAAAGGGTTTCTTTCCAGTATGGATTTGCTCATGTTTCCTAAGGCCCATCTGGGTACTAAAGATCCTTTCACAAAATTTGCATCTGATAGGTTCCACTGGCTGGGGTCTGACACATGTTTCAAGAGCAGTGCGATCCAGGGGACCCTCTCCTGGAAGAGCCCCTGATGGTGTGGTAAGATGAGAGTGTCTCTCAAGTGCATCACTGCCGTGGCTTCCTTCCTGAGCAGAGGTCTTCATGTCACTCGTGGTCACGGGACTTGAAGTCTGATTCTCCTGGTTGCCAAGGTATGACTCTGATGGATCATCAGGAGAAGACGCTCCTACACAGACATGGCAGAAGTTACCTACCTGACCCTCCCTTCCTGCCCCAAAGAATGATTTTTATATGGACAAGCTCTGCTTTGGGATTAATTCTTTGGTTTCAGGTCTCTTCCCACAATATAACTGTGGGAATGAACCTAAGGAGAAAATCAAAACAGGATTGGAGGGACAATAACCATTGGAGGGTGAAGAACAGCGGAAAAGAACAGAGAAGCCAGACACAGAAAGTGGAATGAGGGGAACCATATAAAGACCTGGGATGGGGGCTGTCGACATTTTCCAAACCATGCTTGACAGATCACTAATATTTTGAAAAAGGAGTAGCTTTGACCATAAAGGGGTTCCACTGTCAAGTCAACTTGGGAAATACCATATGATACAAATCAAGCAGGTTTCATTCCTGGATGATATGCATCTCATTTCTCCAAGAGGAAAGGGACAGAAAGTAGCATTTCTAAACTGGTATTACCTGGGAATATTTTTAAAGAATACCTATTATCATGGTTCTTCAGGGTCATTGAGGAAACACTATAATTAACAGGTCAACAGCCTCTTTCTCAGAATAAAGCAAAAGGATTCTAAGATTCTAACCTTCTTTGGATCTTAATTTTATTTCAACCTAATCTACAATGCCAACCAACCAATATCCTTCAATCCAAAATTTATTAAATGCCTATTTTGTGCAAGGCATTGCCCAACCAGATGATTATCAGCAATCTGCAAAGAAGACCTCAACCAAACYAAAATGATGGGGGAATTGATTCTTTGCAAAGACTAGTGGAAGGGATGGCATTTGGGCTCAGTTTAAGTGATGAAGGACATGATGACGGTCTTAGCAAAGACGATGAACTGTGAGGGCTGGGGATGTGGCTCAGTTGGTAGGGTGCCTGCCTTGCATGCTCAAGGCCCTGGGTTCCATCCCCAGCAACACACACACACACAAATTATGAAAATACACAGTCCCAGGATGTCAGAAACACCAATTTCAGTTGGAAGATCTTATAGGAGATGAGGCTGGGAGGCGAATTATACGCCAGAATGGGAAAAAACTAAATGTTTTGCAAAAGTTTGAATTTTATCTTGAGGATGATTTTTAAAAACTGGTTAAGATTTGGGGTTTTATAAAGGCAATTCTTGGGTTGGAGGAAAGCCAAGGAAATCAAGTATAACTCTGTGGTTTGGAAGAAAGAATGATGAACACAGGGGTTGTATCCCCAAAGACCCCTGCAGTGTGCGAAGCAGTCTAGGTGGGACAGCAGAGGTGGAATGCGATGTAGGAGGTCATCGGGTAAGGGGACAGCTGGACCCTTCACAATGGAGCAGGCATTTTAGGAAATGGCCTTTGGAAGGAAGACTCAAGAACAGAGGACAGAGAAGCACCCCTTCTCACTGGCCCTCTTCTGCTTTCCTCACCTGCTTACGTCCACTACTGCAGCCCCTTCTGCCAGTTCTACTTTCAAAGGGCAGCTTGTCTCTCTAGGCTTCCACCCATCCTCTGGAGACCAGCTAAACGGATCTTTCTAGAGTGGCAGTGCCCGACAGAACTCCCTGCCACGAGGGGAATGCTCTACGTGTCTCTGACACAGCAGCCAGTGGCACACGTGGCTCTCAGGAATGGAAATGGGGCTGTTGTGACCCAGAAACTAAATTCTAAATTTCATATAAGTTCAACTAGTTTATACGTAAGTAGCCACACACGGCCAGTGCCTGCCATACTGGACAGCACCGTTCTAGAGTGACAGCACACCACCTGCTCAGTGCCCCCACTACTTCTCCACCTCATGGGAACAGCATCGACACTCCTATCTACCCCTATGTGGGCTGGCCCTTGTCTTTCTCTGTGACTCTCTCCAAGTCCTCGCCTCTTCTTTCAGGAACCCCCGAGCTCATCCAACCCCAGGGACCTTGGATTTACTGTCTTTCTGCGGGTATCAGTCTTCCTCGAGGTTTCCATATGGGTCAGCTCACGTGGGGAGGGAATGGAAAGAAACGTCAGGGAAGGGGGAGTCTGTGGATGTCCACAGATCTTAGGAACCAGCCTGGGGGAAGTAGGGGCTGAGGAAACCGAAGGGTCATTATGCCAAGGTCTTTTGCTTGCTCAGCTAAAGAGGAAGACCTATGATCCCACCGCAAGAAGAAAGGCACAAATGAATGAAGGGATGGAATACTAGAGAAAAGGACACTGCCCTCCCTGGAGCTGGGCCAAAGAGGAACTCACGCTGCAGGAAGAGGTGAGGGCGAATGCTGAGGAGAGACGGCCCTTGAGTGAGAGCACCTCCCAGCCTTCTCCTGGACCTGAGGGCTTTGAGGAAGGCCCTGATGGCATCTGCTGCCCACTGGGCCCTCCCCTCCCCTGGGCAGGGCGCTGCCTTCCCACGATTCTTATCTCCATAGCTTCCCCTCACCACTCACTCGGACACGTCACTGTCCTCCTGTCCTCCTCCACTGCCCATGCCTCTTCTTCCAGGAGTGAGATAATGTCAGGTTTAGAGAACTGGCACCCTGTTGAGGAAGAAAGGAACTGTAAATCGTAACTCGGGGTTCAGCAACTCCAGATTCTGTGGGGGAATAGAAAGGAGGAAAACGGAGTCGGTTTCAAACCTAGAGAGCAGTGGTTCTCAGGGGCTCTTCCCCCCAGAGGACACAATGTCGGGAGATCACCTCTGTGTCCCAGCTGTGGGAAAGACGCAGGTGCTCCCGGCCCCTAGTGGGTGGAGGCAGGGTGCTGTCCACCATCCTGCGAGGCACAGATGGCCCCACATGTCAACCCTGCTGCTGAGTGAACCTGGACAGAGGACTGAGGGTAGTTTTCCAGCTCTGTACTTCAGCAGGGGGAATCGGACACAGCTGCCCAAAGGGGGCCATTACAGGTCCCCTCTGCGGAATGCACTCCACTCTGTATGCTCCTCCCCACCCATCAGCTCCTCGTTTCCCACGCTGCAATCCTTCCTTCGCGTGCGCTGTCTGATGGTCTGTCTTTTCCCACTCAGACAGGACGTCCATGAGGACAGAGGGACTACTATACCTAACCTAGCCCTATACCACATCTGTCACACCATGACTTCTCTGACCAATTAATGAACACCTGTCCTATTCTGGCCATATCTAGGTGCCATTTAGAGAAGTAGATAGTGTTTACTTATATTTTTCTTTAAACCTCCTTCTTTGTAACTTAAATGGGCCTATTTTAAATGGGAGATTTATGTCAACTCCATAAATTGAAACAAATATCATTTGCAAAAACACCAAAAAACAAAAAACCTAGATACTGTAAGAAACCAAGATTATTCACTGCTAACTGGCTTTTTTTTCCCCTAAATAAGAATTATACCTGAGGTCTTCTCTCTACTAAAATGGAAGACCAACAAGATGCAGAGAAATGCTAACACCAAACTAACACTTTATACCTGATTAGTATAAGAAAGTTTGAAAGAAAATTACAAGAGAAACATCTTTCAGCAGCAGCACATTAATATAAAGGAGCAGATTCTAGAGTCAGGCTACTTGGGTCAAATTCCATTTTAGAGAAACAATTTAACTTGTTCATGACTCAGTTTCTTCATAAAATGGCACTAATGATAACAATAATAATAATAATGGCAATAAGAAGTCTCTCTCTCCCACAGAACCAGTGTGAGGATTAAAGAAGTTAAACATGTAAAGTGCTAGACTGGTACCTGACACACATTAAGTGCTCAATAAATGTTAACCATTTTATAATTAACAATGAGTTTAATATCAAAGTACTGCCTCTGACCTAGGTTGAACGCAGTGATGACATGAACCAGCGTTACTGACACAACAAGAAGACACAGGAATTGAGACCCTCGAGCCCAGTGGGCAGAAACGAGTTCTGTAGAGACAGCACACTTACCTAGGGAGAGCAGGTTCTGGTAATTCTCCAGCATGACCTCCCGGTAGAGGTTCCTCTGGGCAGCACTAAGGTAGCCTAACTCCTCYGGGCTGAAGTCCACGACCACGTCACTGAAGGTAACCAATTCCTAAAATACCAGGAACACTCCTAAGTGATTAACGTCCAGGAACGATCCCGGCAGCAAGGAGCCTCATGAGAGAGAACTGAGTATAAAGCAGCTGATGTACTGGCTGAAAGTCCCCAGGTGTCCTAATCCAGGGGCCACAGGGCCTTGCTTTGTCTTGTGGTGTGAGAGGATGGGAACATCTCTGAGACAGTTCCTGCTGCTGATCACTACAGATTTAGGCTGGGGGAGACAGATCCTTTCAAGACACTTTGTAAGTAAAGAAAGCAAGAGTGCAAATACTTAAAACTTCAGGAGTATACCAGTGTCAGAATCAGAGTTGTGTTAAAGTCCTGGCTCTGGTTCTTAGAAAGTTTATGAGTTTGTGTAAGTTAACTCTCAGTATCTCATCTGTAAAACTCAAAGCACTGACAGATACGAGGAAACAGTCAATCCTATTAATTGACAGGGAAATACAAATAAAAAACACAAAGTACCATACCCATTCAATTGACAAAAATTAAGAATTTTGAAAACATAAAGTACATAAACATTAGTCCAAAGGATCTCTTAAAGATGCTAAAGGAAATTTAAAATGGTAAACCACTTTGAACCCCAAAATTATGTTCCTAGGAATGTGTGTTCGTATGTTTGGAGAAATGATCGAGCATGTTTATGACAGTACTGTTTATGACGTCTACAACCTGGACACAATCCAAGCATCCACTTACAGTAGAAGAGATACACACCGTGGACGAGGAAATAGAACGACATTCCACAAACACACATCCACTAACCAAGGTACAGACCGCCATCCTGAAAGCTCAAGGTCGATTCAAAGGCAGATACTAGAGGGCTACATAAACTATGATATCCACTTTATTAACATACATACTCTTTTGTATTTTAATGGAGACTGTCTAAATTTGTTATGCAGAGCAACAAATACTAGATTAGATTAGCAGTCCTGTACTGGCTGCTCAGCTCCTACAAAGGGGTCTATTGGATAACCCTGAGGTTTTTTATTCTTTAAAAAATTTCATACTATCTTCCAATATAAAAAAGTTATACGAGATTTCATATTAACTGGTTTTTATGCTTTTCTTAAAACAATAACAAGATCTAGGGACCTGGGCCACATTTTCACATGGCACCATCAGCAGAAACCACGTCACAACTCCCCCTTACATGAGGCAGTCACTCCTAGTGTGTCCTGATCCACCCAGAACAACAACTCATTCACATCACTGCGGCGCCCACAAAGCATCTTCACTCAAGTCACTGACAGACAAGGGAGGGACACAGGCCACGCTCAGGAACACGTGTTCCCAACCTTTTCCTGTTCACCCAGCCAAGAAGCCTTTTTAGACAACTTCCTACCGTCCCCCCATGGTTTTTTTTTCTGATTCTGAAAGAAACACAACATATTGATTTCATTATTTGTCCTTTAGGTTTCCAAGGTGTCATTTAACAAGAACATTAAAGAGCACACTTTTTAATTAACCCCTCACAACGGCACCGCGAGGTGCCCTCTGCTCAGGGCTGCGGCCGTCCGTGCTCTGTGTGCAGGTGGGGATGCCCACTGGGAGCCCACCAGTCCTGGGCCACGTCTGACGGCCTTCTGTGATAATCACAAATCAGCACTGATCCACATACACACTCACTGAACACTTCTGAAACCACTATGCACACAAACCATGACCACAGCGCTTTGGCCCCGAGAACCACTCTTCACTCCTGATGGGCAACCCCACACCACTGAGAGTACTATTCTAGAACGTGCCTTTAAAGGGAAAGTCCCTCTCCAACTGTCGACCCTCAGCACCACTGTGTGGGACCAGGCAGGGCCAGTGTAAGCGGGCCTCCACTGGTAACTAAACACATGACGACACCACCAGTCTTATCTGTGTGATTTTATGTAAGTTCAGAGAAGTTTTATGTTTGGTGACTTCATTAAAATATTTCTCATAGCCGGGGACAGTGGCACGTGCCTGTAATCCCAGCAATTTGGGAAGGTGAGGCAGGAGGATGGCAAGTTAGAGGTGAGCCTCAGCAACTCATCAAGACCCTGTCTCAAAATAAAAAATAAAAAGGACCAGCCTGGCCTGAACCGTGAACCACATTCGGGCCCCTAGGCCCTGGTGGGCCCCAGCACTGGCCCTGCCTGACCCGTGACCCATGCCAGAGCCCCCAGGCCCAGGCAGGCCCAGGGTGGACAGCTGCACAGAGCGGAGGACAGGGCTATGGCTCCCAGCACCTGGTTCCTCTCAGAACTCCTCCCTCTCGGGGCACTGCAGCCACTGTAATAGCCCTCCCCCCTAGAGCCCCCACCCTGGGACAACTGACAGGGTGTGGAGGCAGCCACCCTGCAGCAGCCCACACCACAGCGCTCTATCCCTGAACAGGCCACCCACAGCCACCCTAAGGCTGGCCCCTTCAGCCCTATCTCTGAAAGTGGTTGCTTCCATCTTGGGACACCTCCACGGCCATCTTGAGTCACCCCTCCTTGGCCAACACCACCATCTTCAGTTTCGACRGCTTCCATCTTGGGACACTGGCGGAGGACTGGAAGCCCATCACCCAGGTACTTATAGATTTGACGCTACCGCTGCCACCAACCAGGGAAGTGGCGGCTTCCATCTAGGGACAATAGCCAGGACCAGGAAGACCATCACCAAGTCCCTGCAGGCTTGGTCACACCAGAGGCAGGAGAGCGCCTTACACGGGGTCGCCTCTTGCTCTCTTTTCTCCTGTTAACAGCCAGCTTCTTTTGATCCATCCTTCACTCTGCCTATGACCTCACACCTCTACATTCTCACCTCCTACCCGTGACATCACACTCCACACCCACACTGCTTCTGTCTTTGTCCACCCTCTTCAAACCTACGGTCTCTACTGCAGATAATAACTGAACTCATCACTTCTGTTTGTTATGACAAAACTCTAATTGTCTAAATAGGGACTCGTTGGTTTAAAGTTATATATCATTTGCATTGGGAGCTGTTAATACTGATCTCCCTCTTAAAGGTGAGACACCAGAAACCTACAGAGACACTTTAAGATTATAGGGTAGAAAGTATAACATCTAGGATCGGCGCTGCTAGAGGGAAGACACTCGGAAAGCATGAAAAGACAGGGAAGAAAGTGCCCCAACACACCAAGATGATAAAATGATAGAACTTTCTGACAGTATAGAAGAAATGTCAGAGAAGGAGTTCAGAATGTACATAATTAAAATGATCTGCAAATCAAATAATGACATAAGAGAGCAATACAGCCAACAACTGATCACTTCAACAAAGAGATAAGAGAGCAAATACAGATAGCAAAAGATTACTTCAAGAAAGAGATAGAGATTCTGGAAGAAAAAAACAGAAATCCTTGAAATGAAGGACACAATATACCAAATAAAAAATTCAATAGAAAGCATCACCAATAGACTAGGGCACTTGGAAGACAGACGGCAGACAATGACGACAAAATATACAATCTTGAGAATAAAGTTGACCACACAGTGAAGATGGTGAGATACCATGAACAGAACATCCAAGAATTATGGGATAACATCAAAAGACCAAATCTAAGATGTATCAGGATAGAGGAAGGCTCAGAGAGTCAAACCAAAGGAATGCACAATCTCCTCAATGAAATAATATCAGAAAAGTTCCCAAACATAAAGAATGAATTGGAAAATCAAATACAATAGGCTTATAGGACACCAAATATACAAAATTACAACAGATCTACACCAACATGTTATAATGAAAATGCCTAGCATACAGAATAAGGACAGAATTTCAAAAGCTATGAAAGTTTCAGGTTACATATGGGGGAAACCAATTCAGATCTCAGCAGATTCTCAACCCAGACCCTCAAAGCCAGGCGATCCTGGAGCAGCATATGCCAAGCTCTGAAAGAAAATGGATGCCAACCAAGACTCTCATATCCAGCAAAATTAAGCTTTAGATTTGATGATGAAATTAAAACCTTCCATGATAAACAAAAGTTAAAAGAATATACAATGAGAAAGCCTGCACTACAGAACATCCTCGGGAAAATATTCCACGAAATGAAAATCAACAATGAAAATCAGAAAGGGAGGGGCTACACTAAAGGAAAAGCCAATCAAAGGAGAAACCAAGTCAAGTAAAAAGCCAAAAACAGACCAAAATGGCTGGGAACACAAACTCTGTCTCAATAATAACCCTGAATGTTAATGGCCTAAACTCATCAATTTAGACAGAGACTGGCTGATTGGATTTAAAAAAGACCCAACAATATTCTGACTTCAAGAGACTCATCAGAAAAGACATCCAGACTGAAGGTGGAAGGATGGGAAAAACATGCCATTCTCAGGGACTGGGAAACAGGCAGGAGTTTCCATCTCACATCAGATAAAGTGGACTTCACACCAAAGTTAGTCAAGAGGGTGAAGAAGGACATTTCACACTGCTTTAGGAAATCACGCATCAACAGGGTGTAACAACCGTGAATGTCTATGCCCTAAACACTGGTGTATCTACGTATATCGAACAAACCCTTCTCAACTTCAAGAATTAAACAGACCATGACACAATAATAACTGGTGACCTTACCATCTCTCTCATCACTGGATAAATCCTCCAAACAAAAATCAAATAAAGAAACTACAGAACTCAGTAATACAATAATTCAGACTTAACAGACATAATAGAATATTTCATCCATTAACAAGCAAGTCCACTTTTTTCTCAAGCAGCACACGGATCCTTCTCCAAAACAGACCATATATTATGCCACAAAGCAAGTCTTAGCGTGTACAAAACCAGAGATAACACCTTGCAAGGCYGGGGTTGTAGCTCAGAGGTAGAGCGCTTGCCTTGCACGCCTGAGGCCCTGGGTTTGGTCCCCAACACCACATAAAAATAAACAAATAAAAACAAAGATATTGTGTCTATCTACAACTAAAATAATACTAAAAAACACCTTGCATTCTATCTGACCATAATGGAATGAAATTAGAAATCAATGAAAAAATTTTAAAAAAAGAAGCTACACCAACATCTGGAGACTAAACAACATGCTACTAAATGAGGCATGGATGACT